GTCCCAGTACAGACCATCACGGTTAACCGTCCCAGTACAGACCATCAGGGTTAACTTGAACAATTAAAACCACAGATGTCACATGACCAGTTCTCACTCAACGCTCTGGTCTGAGAGTGGTATCAGCTACTACCACAGCAGGCGTTATGTCAGTTCCTGTAAAATTGTCCAGGTTTTCGTCAGTGCTGTGTTTCCTTGGGTTGCTTTGCTGTGGCAGCCATCTTGAATCAGATGATTTCTTTCTGCAAATTTCATAAAAATTCATCGTGTGGTTCATGAGATATTTTACTAACAGACACAGATGTGCAAAACTGTTATTCCATCCTCCATAGGATGATGTCCAGTCTGTAGATGTGAGGTCATCCTGCAGCAGTGGGTCGGGGTGACTCCTGCAGGAGTCTGGTTTCAGACAGGAGTTAATGAGTCCATCAATAATGGAGAACAGGTTGCCGTGCTCCGTGTTGAAATCCTGTCTGTGTTTCTTGGCCCACATTTCACACCTACCTCTATTTTACTCCCTTTTACCGTGTCTTTAGTTACGCTGCTCTCAGGTCAGGTGTAGAGTTGCAGGTGGAGTCAGGAGTCTGCAGACTGCCGGGTGGATCTTCAGCCCAGCTGCAGGGAGAGCCTGAAACCTGGAGGATGCTTCTCCAACGACGGACCTGGAGGTTTGTCCAGACATGAAGCTGTTGGTCGTCTGCTTTTGTCCTCCGCAGTAACAGGATCAACATCGGCCTTGGACATTTCTCGAGGGCTCGCTTTCATTTGAGGAATCTTAAAATGTGGTCGGCTCCTGCTGTTTGCACCGTGTGCGTCTTGTTTGGTGAGTTTTCAAAAGATCTTCTGAACTTCAAGACTAAAATGTGTCTAATGTGATGAAAATGTTGTAAAGTGTTCTGTCATTTTGTTTTACACAAAATCCTGCATTGGTGGTTTTCAGTCAACGTTCAGCAAGGTTCACCAAAAGAAGCGTATTTTTAGCAAAGGTTCGGGTTCTGGCAGCTTTTTTCTGCAGAAAGGAAACTTGATGTGAGAATTACCGTAAAGGTCTGAAGTCCTGAGCGGCCTAAAATGAAATACTGTAAACTGTAGACAAGCAGAGCTGCATCAACGAATTACTGTAAATACAGAAGAAGAAGAAGAAAATGTTCAAAATCAAAAGAAAGAAAATAATAATTGAAATCTGTTGACATTTAGTAAGTTAAACTTTATTTATTTAGTGCTTCTCAAGATAAAAATCACAAAGTGCTTCAACAAACAAAATGAACAAGTTCACAAAACTAATTGAAGCAGATTTAAAAGACGAGTCTTTAGCTGAGTCCACTGATCGGAGCGTTTGAGGCCGTTCCAGAGTCTTGGAGCCGCAGAAGAAAAGCCTCGGTCTCCTTTAGTTCTCAGATGGTCTGGGGGACAGTCAGCAGGTCTTGATCACAGGACCTCAAAGACCTGATCAGGGTGTAGGGATGTAATGTTGGAGTCTGTCCATGCAGAGCTCGCCAAGTCAAAACCAAAACCTTCAAGTCCACTCTGTAATGAACTGGGAGCCAGTGGAGTTATATGACAAAACCTTGAAGATCCAGTCAGGAGTCCAGCAGCAGCATCTGCACAGACTGCAACCGGTCTAGGGAGGTTTTGGTTAAATGTGTGCAGTGGATTACAAAAATCCAGGCGAGACGAAACACAAGAATGAATTAACATTTCCAGCTCAGGAACGAACCGGAAGCTTTCCATGAGTTTCCAGAGTAAAACCTGAGTCGAAGGTTATCCCAGGGTTTCCAACCGAGGATTCATCAAAATAAGCATGAGGCCAAGGATGTTTTAACATCCAGAGTCCAACAGGAGACTTCTTTCATATCTGGGTCTGCACACGGACAGCGGACCACCATCTGGTGACCCCTGTCTTATCTTAATGCTGCTATTTGTTCCTTTAATCATCATGTGACCTTCAAACTGAGGAATCAGCAGGTCGAGAACAGATTTACACTTTGTTTGTTTGTTTGTTTGTTTGTTTTCCAGGGGTCGTATGTGATGTGAAGCTTGTGCACTCACAACTCAAATTTACACCAAGAAATGTCAACCAGTCTCCCGCTGTGGGCGCAACGTTAGAGGAAGACATCCAGAAAGTTATCAATCAAATCAACTCCCTTTCTAACGGAAACGCACGCAGCCTGAGCGACTCTTCTGCAGGGGGGGGTGTTGATCTGAACACATATTACAGCATCCTCAATAACCTTTTCAGCCTTTCTCAACCCCTGCTGGCAGGAGGTTTTGTCGACAACCTTCCCAAAACTCTGGTTTGTATTCTGTCAGAGAGCCAGGACTGTGGACTGGAAGCAGAGCTCACCAAGTCGGTGTCTGTGGGGCTAGGACAGCCACTGCTGACCTTATGGGCGTCGGGCAGATCCCAGACCTGCGCTCCAGCGGCCAGCAGTGGAGCGACAGCGAGCAGCTCCCTGTTCACGTACCTCAGTGTGTGGGACATAATGGCTGCACTGTTAAGC